AAAAACAAACAAATAATTAACAGATTTGCAGATAGTTTTTAAACAAAAATTAATGAATCATGACACACGATTTAACATTTACTTTGAAAGCTTTACGCAAATATATATAAATAGTACATAAGAACATACCTGGACGCATATTTCAAATGGCTCAATGCATTGTTATTATCTAACTAGACTAGCAATTTATGTAAACGCAAAATTTACAGTAAATACACACATATTACATAACATATTACTGCATTTGAAATTAGTTTTTTTGGAGTTAAACAAATTGTTTATATTCGCAGCATACTTAGATAGAGGGGTTACATATATAAAAAAAAAACATATCTAAACATTCAGAGGTATGGAATATAGGTATGTATATTTTATAAAGTATTAATCGAAGTGATTTTCAATGCTGTGTTTTCAATGCTTTTCGGTATGTAAACCGGTAGCACAATTTAATGGTTTTAGCTGCCTACATAAAGGAGTTATATCGCAAAAACTTGCATCTGAACTATCAGTGGTATAGGAGATGAAGTTTATACAGCACCGATCTTGATGATTTTCTCAGTAGATTTTGTGTGATTATTTAGAAAATAGCTCACGAAATTTCTCGGTTTTAGCTGCCTAAGTAAAAGAGGTTTAAAGTAAAACCCTATATCCGAGCAATGAGTTGTATGGAGGCTATAGATTATACTGACCCGCTCTTAGTCATTTTTAATGTAAGTATTCTGTTGATAATGGGTGAAAATAGTGCCGAATTTCATGTTCTTAGCTGCATAAATGGAGGAGTTATAACGAAAGATCTCATATCTGAACAATCAGTTGTATGGGAGCTATATGTTATAGTGGTCCGATTTTTCCGGTTCCGACAAATTATAAATACATTATAAAACTACATTCACCAAATTTCAGTCGGATATCTCGAAAACTGAGAGACTAGATAACATACAAACAGACGGACAGACAGACATGGCTAAATCGGCTCAGCTCCATGTTCTGATCATAAACATAGGAACACATTTTCATGGTTCTATCTCTTCTTATTCTGGTACTTACAAACATCTGACCAAAGTTATGATACCATTTCATGCTCATGAAAGCTATAATCAGATTTCAAATCGATGAAGTAGGTGATAAAATATAAATTTAAACATTTTCTTAACTACTTTCCAGCGTATCTATATATCGTTTATCGGTTTAATAATATAGAGATGTAACTCAAAATTTACTTTTTTGCTGATTTAATTATGCAATTCATAAGCTTGATAAGTAAAATACGTTCAGTCTAATAGATAGCCAAACTTCCTAAATATGGCGAAGATATGTGTCTTTCCATCTGTCTTTTTATATACCAACTGTATGAATTGATAAAACTTTGATTGCGTTTTCCCACAAAATGGAAATTTTGAAATACTTCGTTATATTATTAAATGTGCGATATAATTGCTCAGCCATACGGCTTAGTTGAAGCGATCTGTAGCAGCCACAGATTGAGCTATATATCAAATTAAAGTGCAAGCTGCAGTTGCAGTTGACCGTGTTTGTCACAAATTTCAAACGTGGAAGAAAAGTCGATAGTGAGCAATATAGTCTATTGAAAAACATTAAACAATTTTCCGTGGAATTGAGATTCGGAAAAGGTATTACGTATTATTCATAGTTTTGAAATATCGCTAGCTTAGAGTGAAAAGTTGCTAAGTCCACTTTTTATGCAAACTCATATTTTGATATGGGAGGCTAGAGAAATTGAATACGCATCGTTTCGATAATTATAAAGGTACTTGTTTTATTTTTTCCTCTTCATAACCAATAAAAGGAAAATTTGCTAAGTCCAAAAGAAGCACCACAAATCTGATAAGGACAAAATAATACGACATCTTTAAATAAATATCGAATCCTTCTGATTCTTATGGAGTTTTGCTTTGCTTTAAACGCGCAAAATGTCTGATTCAAAGTCTTGCGAAATAGTTAAAGAAAATGGCTATAGAAAGATTTTTTCCTCTCCTGTAAAATTTTTAAAATGGGACTTAGCAACTTTTCTTTCTAAGCTAGCGATATATTTCACGAAAGAAAAAAATAAAAATTTCTGGGATCACATTTTTTTTTAAACACCTATGGTCTCACTGACCATTATAAGGGACCCTAAATGACGGCAAACCTCAAAGCTTTAGACATTTTTGATGTGATTTTTAAAATGAACGATCCAAAATTAGCCGGTATACATATGTTAAAATCTTTAGAATCATTGTTTGAATTTTTGTACTGAAAGGGTTAAGAAAGCTTTAGTTTAAAAGTGTGATACTAAATGCCTTTCACCATAAACGGCGCCAATTTTCAGTAATTATTGCGTTTCAGATTACGACTAATAAAGCCCTTGGCCAGATATTGTGCAAGGTTGGACTATACCTTAAAGATGACTGTTTTCTCGCGGCCCGCTGTTCGAAGCTTTGAGTAGAGTAAGCTCCCTTAAGAACTTAAAAATTACCCTGGGTTATCAGGTCTCTAGCAATACAAGATTAATTGTTGTCTGTCACGAAGTTATTTTAATAAATCTTGAGCTAAATACTGAAGTATATTCATGAGTATCACGTTTTATTATATACTTAAATCTAAATTTTTAATATAAGTAAGTATTTCTTTACTGCATTCACCCACATTTCGGGGCTTACTACTAGTTTTAATAAATTGTCAGTATAATTTCTTATTGAAAATTTGCTTTAGAGAATCAATGTATAATAATTGCAGAAACGATTAACCAGTTTGCTGAGCAACCGAGACGTCTGGTTTTTAAATAATTTTTGTAAAACAAATCGGCAAAAACATGAATGTGTTAAGATGAAAATTTTGGGAAATCAAGTTTGAAAGTTTTTTTTACGAGACTTAACTCTGCATCTATATATAATTGCTCAGTCATACGACTTAGTTAGGGCGATCTGGAGTAGCCACAGAATTGAGTTTTATATCAAATTAAAGTGCAAGCTCCATAGATTATCCAAAAATTATCAGGTTTCAAATCGGTGAAGTAGGTGATAAAATATAAGCGTTTAAACATTTCACACAGTTCACATTACAGTTTTAAACATTTTATACAGTTGTAATTTCGATAAAGTAGAGAATTTCGTTTACTTGGGAACCAGCATTAACACCGATAATAATGTCAGCATGGAAATCCAACGCAGAATCACTCTTGCCAACAAGTGCTGCTTTGGACTGAGTAGGCAATTCAGGACTAAAGTCCTCTCTCGACGTACGAAAACCACACTCTATAAGTCACTCATCATGCCCGTGCTGGTATATGGCGCAGAAGCATGGACAATGACAACATCCGATGAGGCGGCTCTTGGAGTGTTCGAGAGAAGGATTTTGCGGAAGATTTACGGGCAATTACGCGTTGGCGACGGTGAGTACCGCAGACGATGGAACGATGAGCTGAATGAGCTTTACAACGACATGGACATAGTGCAGCGAATTAAAATACAGAGGCTCCGCCGGCTTGGTCATGCCGTTCGAATGGACGCCGACGCTCCTGCTCAGAAAGTATTCAACTCGGAACTCGCTGGTTGTAGCAGAGGAAGTATTCAACTCGGAACTCGCTGGTTGTAGCAGAGGAAGAGGGAGGCCCCCACTGAGATGGAAAGACCAGATGGAGAAGGACTTGGCTACACTTGGCATTTCCAATTGGCGCCAGTTGGCACAGAAAGAAACGACTGGCGTGCTTTGTTGAACTCGGCCAAAATCGCTTAGGCGGTTACAGCGCCAAATAAGAAGAAGAAGGTTAAAGCTTAGACGATATTTTTATATATAAAAATAACAAAAAAAAATTAGCTGGAAAAATATTACGAATATTAAAAAAAACAACACGTGGTCATTTATTTCAGTCACTGTATATAATACGCGAAGATTTTTTGTCCAGGATAAAAGATCTGCACCGTTCGCTCGATTTTCAAAAATGCGGTGTCAAATGAAAGCGCTTGGCCTGTAGATGTGCAAACTGGTTTTATTTTTTCGAAAAGAAAGTTGAACAATTAAGTTAAAATTATCTAATAATTAATACGCTCAGATCCGTACCTTTCGTTCGATTATCGAAAGTGAGGTGTCAAATTGTAAATGTACAATAAGGCTTAACTTTTCCGAAATTAAGTTCAAAGTATTTAAAAAGTTAACCAATTATTACAAAATGGGTATCATAACTTAACTCCACACAGGTGTAAGTAAACCCCGTCCATTAGTACCCACTATATAGTTTTTTGAATAAAGTTCCTCTAGACTAGAAAAATGCTACACTGTGCGAAGTGTCTTAAATTTGCTGAGCACAAACAGAAGTTTTGCTCATAAGTACAAGAAAAGTTAGAGGAAGTATTAAGGTTAAGGTGGGGGCAATGTTGGGCGTTAATCAATTAATTTTTTAATGATCTTGTTAATTGATAAAAACAGTAATTGCAATTAAACTTTTAATTGCGTAACGTAATAAAATTTTACAAAAAATCCGCTGACGAATGACGGAAGAAAAGAATAAGAGCATCTCAATGTGGCAGCAGCGTTGGGAAACCTCATCTAAGCGCGGTGGACACACAGACTAATACGTTATGTCCTCAGCCGGACAACTAGGAGACCTCTAATTCCACCTAACGCTTTAGGGATTACCTACATACATAGTTTGTCTTCAAACACGTTATCTTCGCAACTACAGTGGTTAATCACTGTTTCCATAGATTCAAATTTTACTATCAACTATCTCTCTCATACACAGTATTTCGAAAATTATGCAACTTAATTAATAATAGGTGTGGAAACTAAATTTTTCCTAAAGCTGCATTTCCACTAGGCAAAATGACAAAGTCGGGCACTAAAAAATAATCGTGTCATTATGTTAAAAAATAGGCATTAAGTTCATTTCCAGATGTAACTTTGTTAAATGGCATACATTTTTTATTCATTTCAATGCCTAGTGGAAATTCGGCATAAATTATATTAATTTTTCCAAAATTAATATATCTTATTCGACTTACCGTTTTGACCACTTGATTCAATATAGCTGCTTTGTCCGGTTTCGTTGAGGCCATGTCACCACGTTTATTGAGTTGCAGAAACTCGGACAATTGCTCAATATAATTATTTTCCAGTTCACGGCGCCGCTTCTCATTGTTGCATTTATTAATCTGCGATTGTGGCTAGAGAGATTTTAAAAACGTAAACGATTAGTAAAATTTCTACGTCCGTGAGAAATAAAAACTTTCCAAACTAAAATAAATCAGATGAAAACATTTTTTTTGGTTGGCGGTAACTTTACTTGCAAAACTGCATTTGAGCAAAACATTTTTTCAATTGGAATTTAATATGAATACTGACTGATGTAACCGGCAGTAAGTAATACTGCTTTCGTTTTCCGAGACCTTTGACTTGTCTGCTCTGACAAATGTCAAACATTGTTATGCACTGCACTGTTCCACACTTTGAGTGCACTCATCGAACAAGCCTAATTTAATAGGGCAATTCATCTAAACGCGTAAACGCATTTTGGTACACTGGTACTAAGTTCAGTGGCGGATTTATCGTACAGGCAACATAGGCTGAAGCCTAGGGCGGCAGAATTAAGGGGCGGCAAAATTTAAGACAGCTAAATTAAAAGAAAAAAATTTATTTGGATTCAGCTGCACTTGAAATTGTGTTTGTGTCTGTAAAATATTATTAATGATTCATCTCATTCAATACAATTCAAAATTAGAATTACGCTGCGAATTTTTCCTTAGTATAGCAGTCGTTGAAATTTCCATTTAACTTTCATTCACGCGGCTTAGAAACCTGACGGCGCGCCTGCGCGTGACGCAAAGAAACAGCCGACACGCTGCCCCGAGAACGAGAATCATCTAAAAGGTTACCACACTTGACAACACTGCCGAAAAACGAGCATACATTTTCGAGAAAATTCTTGATTCCAAGCAGACCAGTTTTTCATAAGTGTATCATAACGTGAATAATCTGAAGGTCAGCTTCCGTCGTATGTCAAATTAGGCAGTGTATCTGTGTATGGTCTTCTGTTTGTCTTGCGCGAGGTCAAAAAATCTTCCGGATGAGCGATTTTATTATTTTTTTTTTTTCGTGAAAAAAGGGCGGCAAGTTATGAATTGCCTAGGGGCGGCAAATATTTAAATCCGCCACTGACTAAGTTGCAGATATGGTACCTTTTTTAAATTGGGTATAATAAGATAATTATTTCTTACATCATATGTATGTATATACTTAAAGGTCAAACCTTTGTAAGATGGCCAACATCAATCAGGGAAATCTACTAAATATTACTGCAAAACGCATTGTAATATAAACAGATAGCCCTTTGCGAGTTCCTTGACATTTTAGCTGCGTTTGGTACTACATCATACGAAGCTAAATTCCAGGTCATGATAAGAAAATATTCCTAATATATTAATTGCATGCATCATAAGCATGCTGAATCCAGAAATATAAAAGCGGAACTAGAAGGCAACAGTTTTAAGCTTTGGCTAAGCAGATAAGCTACTCATCTTCGTCTTTACATTGAAGGCAGCCTTAAAACTGGCTGAGAAATAGTGCTCTGAAAAGGATGATTACTACAGCCACTAAAGTCCACCATCACTAGGGGAGACGCTCAAAAAAATTCTTAACTGGAAGTCACATCCATAGCTGCTACTAATAAAGCTATCAGAGATACAGTGATGAAACCGATTAAATAAATATTATGTATTCAAAAAAAAGTCAAGCACCGATTGGTCTGTGCAGCCATTTCAGGAGCGAGGCGCACCTGCCCAACAAAAGTGCTCAGAATCATCACAGGTATACCACCTCTAGCCCATACTAATTGACAATGAGGCTTGCTGGAGCAATTTGCATCTCAGCAGCTTAATGGGCATAAGTCGCGGATACCTTCAAGGACTTGATGGTTTTAAAACCATTCTATGATAATTCTATCATAAAGCTCAGACAAAACGCTACCGAAATTATCCTTAAACGAGCCTCAACAAACACTTGCAGAGAGTAAATCGCAACGATTCATACACCATTAAAAGCCTTGGACTGTTTTGAAACTATGTACTTCTAGGCGTATGCACAACTGCAAATCTCTATCGAAGAAATAAAGCAAGTATAACAGGGTCACCCTTTGGTGCCTTCTACTTGTGTAATGGTTTAATCCAAGGTGTTGAGCTACCCGTGCCGATGAATGGTAGCAAAATCGAACGTACGACGAATTACAGCATAGGGTGATAATCTGAAGGATATAACTGCAATTTTTGTAAACGTAGATATTTGACTTTTTCGAATTTTGATGTTTTATATCGCTAGCTTAGAGTGCAAAGTGGCTAAGTCCCTATTTAAAAATTGTACAGGAGAGTACAGAGAGAGAGGAGTATTTCGCAAAACTTTGAATACAATATTCTGCCTGTTTAAAGCAAACAAAACTTCATAACAATCAGAGGGATTCATCTTTATTAAAAGATTTCGAAATATTTTGGCCTTATCGAATTTTCGGAGTTTTTTTGGACTTAGCAAATGTTCTTTTCATTAAATATAAACGAGAAAATATAAAAACAAGGACCTTTACCCTTTTCGAAACGATGCATTTTTAACCGACTTCCAAAAAAGGAGGAGGTTATCAGTTCGTCGGAATTTTTTTTTTTTTTTTTTATGTATGTTACCGCATAACTTTGCACCACGGTTTTTTTTGCTAAAAATTACTTGTTAATTTATCTAGCCTCCTGTATCAAAATATGAGTTTTCATAAAAAGAGGAGTTATCAACTTTTCACTATAAGCTAGCGATATGCTTTCTGACTGCCTACTATGTGACTTTACGATAGCGCTAACCAAGGTATATTGAACAGGTAGTATCATTAGATCAGCTGATTTAAACGTGCCAAATATTGTTTATTATTTTTTCACAAAAATTCTAAGTTCCTAAAATGTATTTTCGTGCGAAAGCTTTTTTCATAAAAAAGAAGCGATTGCAAACCATCTTTTGTAACGTTCGCTTAACTCTAGAGATGAATAATGATACCATGCAGGTAGCGATACTTCTACCTAGAAGTAGGATCGAAAAAAAATACCGATACCTGAAAAATATCGGATCTAAAGTATCGATACCTACTCATATCGATACTTTTGGTTATGATTATGAAATAAATAGGTTAATTTTGTTTTTTATGTCATAAGTTAACTATTATCTGGGAATCCTAAACTCTAAACTATATGTTTAATAATGAATGGTATTTAGCACAGAAAATTTGTTGGAAAAGATTATAGGAAAGTTAATATCGTTTAAGAAAAAAATTTGCTTATACAATATTTCTGATAGAAAGTTTGTATGCCTTTTCCAAAGATTTCAGGGGGGTGGAAATGTACTAATATTATGAGCTAAAGATTTAAATACGATAGTTTCAAAAATGTCTCCTTACTACAAAATGATATGGATGAAATTTTACTAAAAACGCATTTAAAATATGAAAGATTTTCTAGTATCTAGACACCGCCAACTAGAATAATTTTTCTTTTGACATCTTCTTTTCTCCAGATTAGATGCAAAGATGGCGTTTAAATTTGCAGGCATATTTCAGTTTTTTTCTAAGAATTTTTTTTTAATCAGCTCTTTGAATTTTACTCTTTTGTATGCTTATTTTCTGCAATAAGAGAGTTAGAATTCAATCTGCTTTGGTGGAGCAATTGGAGCGTGTATTTTTTCCTTCATATTCATATTACTTGCTATCGATCGAAAAGTATTGAGTATATATTTGAATTTACTCGTAGCGTTTCATCCCTACTTAACTTAGGGGACAATCGCTGATTTTTGGGCCTTGAAAACGATGGATCGATGCTCCTGAAAGCATAAAATATTACCGAGAAAGAAAGTTTCAAAAATGTTTATATTTTCTATTTTTTTCTTATTTTTTTTTATTTAACATGGCGCACCATAATTAAAAAAACACAGAATACTTTTTTGATATTTTTGGAGACAAGAAGCAACACCAAAATACGCGTAAATGATGTTTTTGTTCTAATGCTACTACCAGTTTAATATGCCTTGGCGCTAACAAATTTTTACTTCCAGAAAAGTCAGCTAAACATATTTCTCTCAACAAATGATTTGGTAATTATGTATATCCAAAAACTGTAGCTGTAAACTATACAATTATATTGTTGGCAAACGTCAGACGGCCTCTCAATGGTTTTACCTTGTTATGTTTTTATCATGGTACATACAAAACACTCAGCGTTTGGAATTTTGTAAGTTATGAATATACATTTTGTTTTAAATTTTCTACCTTCAAATGGAAAAATGCGAATGAATGAATGGAAAACATTCAAATCATGATAAAAACATTACAAGGTAAATTCATTCTCTCAATTCGTCGGCCATGATTTTTTTCTGACATTTGCCAGCATTTTAAAATCATAAAAAATTGAGAATAAAAAAATTAAATTGTTCGCAATTGTTGTTGCTTGAGATTGAAAATGGGAATGCGTGTGTGATTTTGAGTTGCAATGTCGACACAAATATCAGAACAGCTATTCACTCAAATTCAAAAAAATTTTAAGCCAAAATCTTTCATTCGTTTTGTATATGAATTAGGGCTGTGCGATTATTCGATTACTCGAGCAAGTTGGTTAATCAATTACTCGAGTAATCAAGATTTTGATTACTCAAAACGATGATTAATCGAGTTAATTGAAATATGATTACTCAAAAAAAATAATTTTGCTCGTTAAAAGAGTTTGCTTTGGAAAATGTTTATTTTCTTTTTTACATTCTGTATATGAAAAACATTTTTCGTTTCAATTTTTGAAAACAGAAACGATGTTTTCAGAGTATCAAGGAACTTCAACTACTTTAGATGTAAAGAGTTGAAATGTTGATTACTCATTTTACTCGAAATGTTGATTAATCATAAAGCAAATTACTCAAATATTTTTGTTTTTGGTTAATCAAACATCTTGATTACTCGAGTAACTGAACTTTTGAGTAATCATAACTTCCAATTAATCGAACAATTGAGTTATTTACTTTATGATTAATTAAAATTTTGAGTAATCAATTAATCGCACAGCCCTAATATGAATAATTCATAAGCCGCTTTGAATGCATTCATGCAGCCCTCTAATACATACATATAAGCATGATAACTCACCAAATTGGCTTTCGGATCAGTTTTCCGTCTAACTTTTCGAGTCGGCGTAGTTGAATTATTTGAGATCGGCGATGCTACAGCATTCATATTGATGGAGTTTTGCAACACGGTGGCTAAACTTGCAGTTGGGGCAGTTTTTTGTCGCAAATTTGTATTATAATTACTGCTATTTCTGTGGTGAGTCAATAACGTATTGTTGTTGTTTGGGTTAATATTGAGCTTGTTTTCGCTTTGCTGTAGTAATTGGTTCTGCGCCCGTAATTGTACTTGTTGCTGCAACGATAACAGTTGGTTTCTACTGTCAGGGGTGTTGTTGTTGGCCTGAAGTGGTGCAGCTGTAGTTTGTACAACACCGATGCTACCGGAAACAGACGAGGATGTCACCGCTGACAGTAAAGCAGGAATGCCCTCTACTCTACCAGTACCGGTAGCACTGAGGATAGCACCACTCGGTATCGAGGGTGCTAGGCCCTCCAATGATGCCGTTACCACGCTGCCGCTGTCCGCTTTCGAAACAGAAACTGCAGCTGTTGCAGCGGCTGGCGATAATAAAGGCAGCTTGTAGATGAGGCTACTAGAGGTTGTTGTTGACTTGCCGTCAGGGATCGCCGATTTGTGGGCAGTGGTTGCAGTACTATTATTCTTGTTCTTGAAAAATACACAAGTTTTGTTAATGTTGCTGTCGATATTGACAGGGGCAGCCGTATTTGAGGAAGTTGTTGCACTTGTTGACAATGTTGATAACAAGGATAAGGTTCCTGTGTTGTTGGTAATAACGCTGATACTGTTATTATTGTTGTTGTTGGAGGTGTTTGATACCCAAGGATCTGGTAGGTCACACGGGCCAAGCCTACAGAAGATAAAAGAAACATATTGCTATATGAAAAACATAAGAACTTATGCATACTAAAATTTTTAAGTTATTTGCTGATGATGCATTGATTGCAATAACTGAAAATTAATGCAATAATTATTAAATTATTTTAAAAGCAGCATAAGCCATTGGCCACCTCTTAAATGCATGGTTACTTTTAATTAAATACAGCTGTGAATGGTTTTACGGTCATAAATTAATGAAAAAAGTTTTTACTTTTGGCCGTTGACCGTTGAACGAATAACAGACGAAGTCAAACAATATCAAATGACTTATATCACTTTCAAAATAAACGGCTCATACATACTTATGTATGTACATTAGGGTGGTCCAAAACAAGTAAAGTCCTCTAAATATATTTTGATTTCAAAATAAA